GACTGACGTCATGAGGACTCTAACCCGTGGTCCGTCTACCACTGAGGATATTTTACCTCAGCACTGTGGTCGGTGCAAGCTGGATGCGGAATTAGTATCTTCCACCTATTCTTGGGATTTAAACCGGGGTCACCTCATTGAGAGGCGAGCTCTCTGTCTCAATCACCGGCTCTATCTTAAAATATGTTTCAGAAATATCTTAAACAATTTTAAATAAAGTGACTGAAATATTGGGGTTTTTCAAAAAATAGTAATACCATCAAATAAGCCGAAAACTTCTCATCTGCTTTCTTAAAACAATTTATTCTTCTTCAAATCATTTTTTAGTCTTGAGACTTGTTTTATTATAAACGTTTTATGTTATAAACATAATACCTGGAAAATTACCTTCTATTCGAGAAATTAATACTCGAAATAATATAATGTTCATAATTATTAATACTCATATTTTCAATGCTCTAAAACAGTGGTTACCAGTTGACAGCCAGCGGGACGCATCCAGCCAACGAAGCCTTTTTTTATGGCCAGCGAACTAAAATATATTAGTTGTCATTTCTTTGCGGAGAATTTTCGTGAAAAATCTTTATGGGTTTTAAATACTTCAAAGTTTTATATCTTAACAATTTGAAATCTGCTGCACATTAATTGTTTAATACATACGTGCACATTGAAGTTATAGTAGCATAATCTTTTAAAATGCAATTAAATATTTTTAAAAATCTACTTCTTATTTTAATTTGCAATTCAATACTTTTGTTTCGTACAACTTGATAATATTTAATGTTCCTTGACAGTAATATTTAATGTTCCTTCAAACATAAAAGAGTCCTCTAGAAAATTTTGATAAAGTTGCTGCCCGCCATTTGACTGCGTTTTTAATTGCGGCCCCCGGCCTCATCTAAGTTGGAAACCCCTGCTCTAAAAAGACAATATTGCTCAACCTTTGTGTTGGGACTATTTTAAAAAAAGGGAGTAAGAGCAACTAAATTGCTTGCATAATTTTTAATTCTTGATACCAAAAATTAGTCCAACTAATCTAAACAAAAATTAGTCCAAAATCTCCTACTGATAACATAGCCGTCTCCCAGCTAGTTTACAGACCAATGTATTGGCCCATTGATAGCTTAAATTGTTTGTATATTCGCTCAATCGAATGAATTGGATTTTAAGACAAACGGATATTTAATGCGCCGAAACGACATTACTTTCCGGTCCACAAAACATTCTCCCCAAATATGTTGTAGACATGACTGTCGTTTTTGTTTTGCGTCGGAAGAAAGAACATTGACAGCGTTTATTATTTGTTGTTTCAAAAAAGCCAGNTTTTTTTTTTTTTTTTTTTTTTTTTTTTTTTTTTTTTTTTTTTGTAGCAATCTTACTTTGTTGACAAAGTAAGGTCGAAATAAAGGACCTTAAAAATCGTGAAGAGTTACGGGCTATAAAAAAAATTCAGGAAAATTGAAAAACTTTTATTTCAAAATTAAAGTTGACGGAACTAAATTTGGCCATATTCTAAAAATCGTTCGCGTTGCTTATTTGATGCTTATACTTATAATGCTTAGTTGTATGTTTATTTATAATCGGCTTATTTCATGAAACATCCATGCTAAAAATCTTACATATTGAAAAATATTACCTTTTCAGGGAGATTTTTAGGATTATAAACTTAGTTATTACTTCCATATTTAAGTACTCAAGATTCAGGTATTTTTTCCTGATCGTTCACATTGATACATAATAATTGATTTTTAACCCTCTGCTAAAATGTTTTTTTTTTTCTTTTTCTTTTTTTTTTCTTTTTTTTTTAAAGTGCAATGTAGTTGAAGGTTAGCTAATTGATGGGATATTTCTATAATTTAGCCATATTGTATTAACTCTTTTTATTTATAACCGCCGTTGAACAGTCGACCCTATTTTACGGGTTTACGACTACTAATGTTAACTCCGTAGCCTTGTAATTTTGAACCCAATCCAGAAGACAAGGGAACTCCTGGATTGAGTATTGGGAGAAATTTGCCTTCGTAGAGGACTTTCTTGATGGAGCTAACCCACATTTGCGTTACATGGAAAGGAAGACCACGAGAACTTCCTTCGGTTAGCCTGACGGCAAGGAGACTCTAACACATGATCCGTCTACTATTGAGGATATTTCACGTCAGCATTGTGGTCGGCGCAAACCGGATGCGGAATTCATATCGACTGGGATTCGAACCCGGTTCGCCTCATTGGAATGCGAACGCTCTATCCCCTGAGCTATCGCGTGTAACAACTATTGAAATTCCTTTTAACCCATTAGGAGTAAACAATGACGTAAAAAGATTTTCAGTGGGACATTTCTTTCCTACAAAGGAGCACTACGGCTTGTTCAACAAACTACTCTGCCTTTGCTTTTCCCTAAATGTATCAAACTGCTCTCAAAATACTCAGAAATTTAATCCAAATTTAATAATCTTTTTTTCTCATTTACTGAATTAACTTTTAACGTGCATAATTTTTAATAGCAAAAGCTGTTTATTGAATTTCATTAGTTTTCCCTGATATAAAATACAAATTAGAGTCTCAACATAAATTTATCCTTGCTCAGATGGTTTTACTTGTTAGTCATTTATAAGCATGTGAGCGTAATCTGTATAGAAAGAATTGACATTTATGAAGGATTGTAGAGCAGGAGGAGGATTTTCTTTGAAAAAAGTCATACAGGGTCGATCTAGTTAGGCACATGCTCTAAAAAAAATAGAAATAAGCAATGGAGGAGAAGCATTGTGCTAAATCGAAAAGGAAAAAAAAATACACTCAAATCTCTATAGCTGTCACTTTGACTGAAAATGGTCCTTGGTAAATTGTCATTTTATACGCTCGTAATATAATATAATGAAATTTTATTTCAATGGTTTTGAAGATGTCAAAGAGTTGAGAAAAGTTTGGAAAATCAAGTAAGCTGGTATAGTTATTCTAGGACTCAGCGCCTCTCGAAGTGGATTTGCTATCAGAAGGACCACTCTGGTTGTTCTATTGTTAATGCAATACTGAATTATAAGAATCATCCACCCTATATCTAAATGTATACTACTTCTATCCAATCTGCGACTGATTTTAATTAAGTATTTAGGCTGTAATTGGAGCATTATTTTAGCCTGAAAAAAGTGGAATAAAATAATATTTTCTATGAATGAATTAGAAGTGCTGATTCACTGTGAGGAGCTGCATAATTATTTCTTCAGCTATTTTAGTAATAAATAAACAATTTTAAGTTTTAAAATCTTCCTTCAACTTTGCACACACTTTCAAAACCGTGAATTTAATTCACAAAGTTTTTACTAATATCTATTAGTTTCAATAATGTTTATTTAATATACCAGCGGGTGACCGAGCTCCGCTCGGAGAAAACAGGTATCGAAGCTAACTCGAAGATTTAAATTTTCAATTGTGATTTATCAAAACAATACATGCCATAAGAAAATTTGTGAAACCTTTGGTGAAAAGATAACCGGTTAAAGTGCACCATTGTAAACTATCTANGGAAAATCAAGTAAGCTGGTATAGTTATTCTAGGACTCAGCGCCTCTCGAAGTGGATTTGCTATCAGAAGGACCACTCTGGTTGTTCTATTGTTAATGCAATACTGAATTATAAGAATCATCCACCCTATATCTAAATGTATACTACTTCTATCCAATCTGCGACTGATTTTAATTAAGTATTTAGGCTGTAATTGGAGCATTATTTTAGCCTGAAAAAAGTGGAATAAAATAATATTTTCTATGAATGAATTAGAAGTGCTGATTCACTGTGAGGAGCTGCATAATTATTTCTTCAGCTATTTTAGTAATAAATAAACAATTTTAAGTTTTAAAATCTTCCTTCAACTTTGCACACACTTTCAAAACCGTGAATTTAATTCACAAACTTTTTACTAATATCTATTAGTTTTAATAATGTTTATTTAATATATAAGTTTTTACAAGGGATATTCATTCGATATAATCAATTCTAAAAGAGCTTTGAAAATGAAATAGCCTTAACGGATGGAGGTGGCATGCTTCCATTCAGCACGTGTGACGTCATAACCAATCAGGGATCGTTTCTGATTACATCACTTACGGATGCTTTTTTGCAATTTAAATGTTTAATAAATGTTTAATGATGCAATTTAAATGTTTAATAATTAAGTAAACAAACATTTTGGAGAAAAAATAATCAGATTTTCGAATTCAGGTAAGAATTTCTAATAAGTTAAGACTGAAAATAAAGTAAAAAAATAAGAGATGTCCATTGTTAGATATTGATAATGTTATGATGGCAATAGACTTATAGACTATCAGACTTTTGTAAAATTATTTCTACCACAGAAGATCTTATTCACAACGTTTTTCCAAATATCAGGCGAAATTACAAAAATTTTCAATTGCTCAGTGAGCTTGCTATTAGCTGCCAAAAACTGTTACATGTGTATGGCATCAATAATTGCTTTCTAAAAGAAATTCCACAGGTAATACAGGAACATATATGTTCATCGATGCAGTAATAGATCAGAACGAGGTTGTCAACTACCCAACTGAATTCCTGAATTCACTTAATCTACCATGTATGCCACAACACGCATTAACATTGAAAACTGGAGTACCTATCATTCTTCTCCGAAACATCAATCCAACCAGACTTTGCAATGGTACACGGTTTTCAGTGAAAAGAACAATGACCAATATCCTTGAATTTAAAATTCTAAATGGTAAATTTAGAAGAGAAGATGTTCTGTTACCACGTATCCTAATGATCCCGACAGATATGCCATTCGAATTTAAGCGTTCTGCAGTTTCTGGTGCGTCTCGCCTTTGCCATATCAATCAACAAACCACGAGAATAGTTATGGCAAGTATGTGGACTAAATTTGAAAAATCTATGCTTCTCCCTCGGACTGCTGTATGTGGCCTACTCACGTGTCGGAAGAGCATCTAATTTGTGCACGCATTATTATCTAATTTATTTGTGTAGACAAAGAACATTTTTTATTCAAAAGCACTTGAATAAACGTGTTTACAGAGAACCGTGAAATTGTCAAAAGTTTTTTCACAATTAAATAAAATTCGCAGCTCAAATCACAATCACAAGTCACATTTCCACAAGTAAATGAAAAATTTATATATAATTTAGACTGAAAGCGTTGCAGCTCTCGCAGGTTACAGCTAGTATACATATAAAAGGGACCCCGGTGTCCCATCTGCGACAAAGTGTTAATGACCATAAAAGCTTCATTATATTAAATTTGTATGAAATTTATTTTATATCCATCATAAAGTACTTTCCTTGAACCACATATTTACCTGCAAAAAGTTTAATTTTATATAAAAATAAATAACAGTTCATATAAAGTTCTTGAATTATAAATTTATGATTGCGAGTAACCTGTTTACTACGTAAAATAACTTAACTAATTATTACAATTGTTTCCAGTTATAGTATAGGTTACTTCCATCAACATTGAAAACAGAAAGGGGGGACTGATTTCATTTATAGCGGAAAAATTATTTTCTAAATTGCGATGAACCACAAAAAGATCAATTTAATTTTCTAATCCGGTTAACGTATTTTTAAAATCATTTTTGTTTAGTGTTTGAAGAAAGTAAGCTAAAATTACAATTGTCTGAAATGGTAAAATTTCCCATTTCCTGAAATGAACATTTTCTTTAATCATGAGCACGCTAATGAAATTGTAATTACAATACTTGTAAAAATTTAAAATGCAGTTAAATATGCCTCGCTTATAACCGTGAAGTCCTCTGCACGAATTACAGTGCAGTAATTAGTTTTTATACAATACATTCCTAATCAAACATTTTCACTACTAAAATTTCTTCAATTACTTTCCTTCAAAGTTATTATTTTCAAACTTAAGAAACAGCGATAAACAACAATTTCAAATTTCCGCGAAATGACTATTAATCGAAGCGCATTGTTCCAAAATAAAACAATGCACATTTTAATTTTCTCCCAGCTCAAATAACAGCCAGAAAAAGGAATTTTTACTAACGAACAATTCTTCAATAGAAACGCATTTTTTTATTATTACAACGGGGTGTTCTTATCCGTGATTTCAAATAATTGACAGGAAGACGAAATAGCACTTTACCCACTGGGTAATAAGCACTAAAAGTAGTCTTGGTATGTAATTAGTTCTTTTTTGCGTGTCCTTCGTCGTTGCACTGAATATCTAGCAAGAGATTGCATTTTCGGAAGTTTTATTGTTGTTGTCGACTTCGTCCCAAATCAAATTATTTCCTGAAATATTTCCTTAGCAGTTCCGAGTTATTGACCTTAAAAAGAAAGGTCCACTACTACTCTTGCAACCTAATCGTAGATGCGATGTAATGATAGGTCAAATAATAATTAAAGCCTAATTCGGATCCTTCCATCACCTTCAGTAGATTACTTTATTACTTAAAGCTAGAGTAAATATGATAATAATTATTCTGTTTTTCTTTGTGGTCCAACTCATCTTGAAAACGTTGGCAGCATTTAAATTATGTTCCGAAATTAATCATAGCCAGAGTGTACTATTTATTTATTTGGCATATCCTGCTTCAATTATAATAGTTTTTGGAGTATCTGTAGCCTTCATAAATTAGTGCTAATGAATATGTATCATTACGGATACGTTTATATAAATGTATTTTAATGCATGGTAAACTAAATAAAAATTCGATATCACAAACTTAATTTTCAAGGGATGTTATAGATTCAAAATCCATCATGATTTTTTCTTACTTTTTTTTAATCGAAGCTGTGGAGTCAGTAGTTAAAATGTTCGACTTCAAATCTTAACTCTTTTGAGAGCTTGAGTCTTACTCCGACTTACACCCTATAATATATTTTTAAGGGATGTTACAGATTCAAAGTCCATCGTGTTTTTTTCTTACTTTTTTTTAATCAGAGCTGTGTAGTTAGTAGTTAAAATGTTCGACTTCAAATCTTAACTCTTTTGAAAGCTCGAGTCTTACTCCAACTTAGACCCTGTAAACCAAATCCTCATAAATATTGATATTACTAGGAAAAATGTTTAAATTATTTCTTTCTATTTTTGTATACGATTAAAGTTAAAAGTTTCTTTTAACTTAAAATTTCATTTCATATTAATTAATTATTACTTTTTTTTAAATCTAAAATTCATTTCATGTAACAGTTGCAGAAAAAAAAATATTTGTACAAAATATTGAAGTTGTGCAAAACAATCATAAAAACAGAGCTAGATATCATCACCACACAAGCAAACTCGCATAATTATAAACATTTCAATTCAAAAAGATTCTTCAAGGAAAATTCTGGAACTAGAAAACTATTACAATTAATAAATAGAATTCGATTCCAATTCTTTTCAATTAACTTTCCAACTGATTCGATACCATTTCTATTGCAGTGACAAGGTAAATAAATTTGATTTTGGTATTTGCATATTTTAATAGTTCAAGCAAGTGTGGATTTTAAAATGCTCAAATGTGATAACGTAAGTTAGTGAAAAAATACTACTTAAATAATAGTCAGAGTGTTCATAATATTTTTGTTGTTTTTGTTTCTAATGACACTTGAACAAGCCGAGCTCGCAGCCATTGCCCTTTTGCGAATTAAGTCAGAAAAGTGTTCCTTTCGTTTGATAAGAGAACACTGTAAGGGGTAAAGCACGTCTTAGCTCAGAATCCTACAAATAGATGGCAGCACCACTCACTGGAGTGTACTCTCTTAATTTAGACGTAGATCTTTAGGGAAAGGAAATTTTTTCCAGATCCATGCACCTATGGTACTGCTCAGTGACCCTCAGTGCAACAGGACTTTCGATTCTACAGATTTTACAATCACGTATATCTCATGCTCTCCTTCTTAGCGAAAATCTTAGTGATCTTAGCATGGATCTTATCCAAGTTGAGGATGCTGATTATAAATATTTATATATATTTTTGTCATAAGGTCAAAAACATCATTCCATATTTTGACCTATAGGACCCAAGTTTCAGCTGATTTGAGTCGGAGTCATGCAAACATTTCCGACTGCTATGTCTGCTAGATTTACTCTTTGACAGCCTTGCCTTTAGCACTACCAATGCCGAGCATATCAGCAGTGATGGAAATATTTCATTCAAATTTAAAGAATGTTTCCGATACTAATAATAACATAAGGTTTCTTCTAAATAATAAAGGACTTGAGTGATAGCGTAAGAAATATGTAGCAATAGCAGTACTTTCATTAAGATTTATAGTGGTTGGTACGAGGAGAGCATCGCACATTGCATATAACTACCTAATCAATCCAGCTGAGAGCATTTGAAGCGAATGTAAAGTCGGGTTAAAGAATGATGCAAACAAAATGTAACAATGTTAAGTAGTGCGTTTTTTGGTAGCGAAACGTGATCATAAATGTTTATCAATAAAATGATTGCTATTTATTTCGAACACTGTCGGAAAATATATCCATGAACAAAATAGTGTAAAATAATTCGTCATGAAATATCGAATTTGCCTACCAAGTTAAGCAAACACAGTTATCTCCAATGAATCAATTTCTATTTTTAATAAATTGATTCTAAGTAATAAAAGTGTAAGAATTCGTGATATCTGGGCACCACTCTGAGTCTGTTGAGATGGTACCAAAGTTTTAAACTTCTCCCACACACAGTTGTTAGTGCTAATTAAGTATAGTTATGATGCTTCATAATTATATTTTTCAGAATGTGCTTGCTGATCTGTCATTTAATATTTTCCAGTTTCTATTAAAACAATCTAACGATAAACCTCTAATTTTCCGCGAAGGATAGTCCTCAGTCCGAAGGATAGTCCGAAGGATGAACCTCCGCGAAGGATAGCCCTTACTTCAGACCAAGCTCCCCTTATATTGAACTATATTAAAAATGAACTATATAATAGTTGGTATTTAAATATATCATAACTTTAATAGATTTTTTATATTGTTTCAGGTTCTCTTATCTACATGCTACTCATGCTGCCTTAACTCTTCCTTCTTATAAACACTTATTTTCAAACGGTGTAATTCATCATGGCTAACTGGACTGATTCAAACAGTACTGATTCATCACTTCTTCCGTACATTACGAACGTAACGGACTCATCAAGTGAAATATATGACTTCATAAACGAAACTTCTCAGGAAACCGATACAAACTCTTCATTTCCAGACGATTTTAAAAACGGAACAAAAAACGAGGAAGTGCCGTTTTATTTAAACTTTCGTGACGAGCCATGGGTCATACCACTGGTAGCCTTCTCGTTTTTCAACATAGCTGTAATAATAATATTTGAAATTTTTGTACTGTACAAATCCTGTGGAGGACGTAGACACTTGTTTCTTGGACAAATTTTGCTATTAGGACTTTTCTTGTGCTCCGCTTTAGGGTTAATCTATGTACCGCATCCACACTGGCTCTTCTGCGGGATCACTCGAGTCGGTGTTGGAATAGCTTATGCCATCGTTTTTGGAACACTGCTGGTGAAGTGTGTATTTTTGCTGAAGTTGAACCATGGAGTGTACTTCAACGCATCTTTTCAGGCTCTGTTGCTGTTTTTCATTATCGCTGTCGAGGTAGGTATCATGTTTTATGAATTATAAAATAGTATCTTTCATATTTATAGCAGCTACTTTTACTTTAAAAATTTTTTTTTGTGGTTGTAGCAAGTTATTGACTAAACCTTATTAAGTACACTTGAGGTAGGGGAAAAATTACAAGTAGTATGAGGAAATTGTCGATATTTATTGGGTTGTTTGGAAAGTAATTTAGTTTTTTTCCAACTGTGGATTTAATTATATCTTTTCACTGCCAACTTCACACTTTAACCACATAATCATTCAGAGTGCGTAGCGTTTTTAAAAAGTGCTTAAAAGTGCTTATTTTTGATTAACATTTTAAAAAGCCCTTAAAGGTGCTTTTTTTTATTCGGAATTTGTAAAACTTCCTTAATTTTCGATGTCTTGAAGAGAGATTTTTTCTTTTCCTTGTCGATTGTCGTTCTAAATTACAAAAAATGCATGATTTTCACAATTTTCTCTGAAATATTTACCAGAAACTAATTATTTTATCATTGAAGTTTGTGAAAATGTTTTTGAATTTTATTGATTTTATGTTCATAAATTAAAAACTTTAAACGATAGAAAAAAATAATTTTTATTATTGCACAGTTCCTAATTATGACTTTTTTTTGGAAAGTGATTAAAAATATTTTTGAGTGCTTAAAAAGTATTTAAAAGGTGCTTATTTTCAGTTGAAAAATCTGGCTAAGCACCCACCCTGTCATTATATATTTTGGCAGCTGATATAGCAAGGCTTACTTGTGAAAAATTTGATTGATTCTATGCAATTGTTTTTGGTTGGTTCCCTGTCATATAAGAGAGTAAAAATCAGCATTTTAGACATATTTTTTACTCTCGTAAAAGTAAATATTCTGTTCCAGCAAAACAATATTATCCGATGTGTATGGAGAAGATACACTGACAGTTCGAAAATGCCGAAATCGATTTACAAAATTTCGAAAAAATAAATTAACATGTACGAAGATGCACCACGCCAGTGAAAGCAATAAAGATAATAATAAAGGCATTAGTCAATGTAAATAGGTGAAAATCAATTTATTTGTTTTATGTTTAATATACCTTAAAAAATTCTACTAATTAATAACACTGAATTTAATGTTGAACTTGTGCGAGTTAGAGCATGCTGAAACCGGTTAAAATCGGTGAAGAAAGTGGTCAACATACGCATGCGTAGTCACTTAATCGGCTCCAGCTATCCGGGGAGTAAGGACAGGCATATTCGTGAAACTTGTCTTTATTGCTTATGCAAGCCACCTACGATAGACAAATTCACAGTGGAAACTTTTTGCATAAAAAAGACAGCACTTTTTGCATAAAAAACCAGCACTTTTTCTATAAAAAAGACAGCTTTTGGTGATGATAATTTATTGGAGTGCCAAGACTCTAGTTGAATAAGGTATTTTATGAAAGTTGTGAAGAGGTCAGTGATGAATCTGTGGCTAAAAGGTCATCAACATCCACTATTGATGAAAATATGATGCTTATAGCTGAATTTTTGAATTTTAGTCTGTCATTTGAGTGTTTATGTACTAGCACAAACATCCCAAAGCAACATCATGGACAAATGGAAATGTAAGTATCGTAAGGTGCCTTGACATTCAGTTCTCTTTGTGACCGTAACTCACTTCCTGGCTGACTCAGATGAACCAAGGGTTTCTCAACCACTGGCGTACTCCCCAAACTTTTTTTTATTCCGAGACCTGAAATTCCAAAAAAAGAACATCTTTTTGGGACATTTAACAAACTAAAGATGTTTCCACCAATGCTCTAGAAGACATTCTGGAAAAATCCTGTTCTTATTCCTCAGTTGGTTGGAGATAGTTGAAGAACTACGCCCTTTACTTATCCCAAGCAGTTTGAGCGTGCTGGGACATGTATGAGCTTCATGAAAAATTCAATAACATTACATTCAAGACACACCCTGTATTCTGTAATATATTTTTGTACATGCTTGGGCTATTTTAACTCAATAAAATATTTCAGGTTGCCATTGTAATCCAGTGGCTGGTTTATCAACCTCCTCAAACAAGCTCTTGGACATACGCTGGAGAACATTCAATAGTTTGCGAAAAATCACCGCTGGAGAGAATTACGTATCTGACATATGTTATGTTTCTCCTGTTTCTGGTGATTGTAGCATCCATCCGGGCTAGATCCATTAAAGACAATAATAGGGAAGCCCTTTACATTGGTATTTCGATCGGAATATCATTGGTAATTTGGGTAGCATGGATCTCAGTGGCAATAATATTTGACAGAAGGTTTGTAATTATTATTTACTGAACTGTTATCACTACCCTATTCCACCCTATGGTTTCTTTTTTTTTGAAGTATGATTCTAAACTTAAGACCGCTATGTTATTCCTGTCTCTAACACCCATTCGCTCAAAATCTTTCAATTTTTAAAAGTGGGGAAACATTTAATTAAAATATCTATAATAAACTAGAAATCATGGAGAAGGTAGTGTAAACAGAAAGTACGGTCTTTTAAGAGCGGTTCTAAGCATAAAGACATTATGTTTTCTCTATTTCTAGTAAATTCCATCCACGCAAGCCTCCTGAAACAAAGCGTCCATTTAACTGGACAATATTTGGTACTTATCACCAAAAAAATAAAATTTCGGGATTTTTTCTTCTGTATGCCTTTAAAAGTGATTGCTGTCATAAGTTTATTAGGCTTACCCTTGTTAATTGGAGTTTTTTATAACAGTGAAAAATTATAAGAAATATTAAAAATTTCAATAAAAGAAACCATTTGGACAGCTTTATAGTACATAAATATCTTATCATTTAAGTTTCATGAATTATGTTTCATGACTCCTAATTGCAATAAAATAATTAATCGCAATTAAGAGTTTATTTTTTAAGCTAGATATTTTTAAGAAAAAATATCATTATTTACAATAGATTATTTATAGACAATAATAAGATGGCTCTATAACAATAGGGCTGACCACAATTAGAACGGTTTTGTTAATTTGGGTAACAGAGACCTCAGTGGTTATAATAGTTCATAAAGGTATCTAATAATTTATTAAGTTGTTATCACTAACCTATTCACCCATACAATTTCAATTTTAAGTACGATTTGAAATATACACCATAAGCTTACAGTAATTATTTTTTCGACATAAATCAATTTTCAGTATTTTTTTTAAAAAAATTGTATCAATGGCAACATATACATGTTGCCATTACACACGAGCATTCGATAGATAATGTAACTTATTTTTTATTTTTAAAAATTCGACTTCATAATATCAGTATTACAATATATTTAGAGTTGAGATTTGTTCGATTTTTTTTATTTTTAATTTAATTGTTATTTAATTTTTATTTATCTAATATTTTAGTAATGACAATAGTAAGGAACATCGTTTTCCAAATAGCATTCAATGTTATAACATTACACCTAACAGTGTTTGATGATAACATACATTTTACGAATTTTTAGGCTATTCCAATTAAAATAGTTCTTAGATATGATTTCTTCTCAGTAATGTCCCAGTCAATTTCTCATTATGTAGTGCGAATATAAAAAGTATTATTGAAAAATTGCAACGCGGTATAAATTGGTGAACTAACAAGTGCAATACCAAAACTGTAGTTATTATGAGAAATACGTTTTAACTTTAACCTTAATCTAGTTAAAAGACTCAGTAATTAACGATTCTAAAAGAAATATTCTGTTGCCAACAAAAAAATGCGACATTTCCCGCGAATGGATTCTCTTGTAGTAATATAGGGTCCTCGAAACTATTACCTCTCTTCTTAGATTTTGCTTAATTATGATTGGTGTAAGAGAGTGCTTTGCTAAAACCTTTATGAAGAAAAAAATATCAGTGAAATTATAAATGCTTTTTTTTATAAATAAAAATTATTATAATTTTTGAACTACTTATCCTATTAACATTAGTTTTTTTTCTTCATTTGATTGAATTTTTAAAAAAATACATAATAAACTATACTTTTTTTTGCCTAGATAGCATTATTAAGCGCGTAATACAAGACAAATTATTTTTCTTTTTTATACAAAACATCAATATCTTCTCAACTATTAGTCCAATCGATTTTTTTATAAATAAAAATTATTAAAATTTTTGAACTACTTATCCTATTAACATTAGTTTTTTTGCTTCATTTGATTGAATTTTTAAAAAAATGCATAATAAACAATACTTTTTTTTGCCTGGATAGCAACATCAAGTGCGTAATGCAAGGTAAATTATTTTTCTTTTTTATACAAAACATGAATATCTTCTAAACTATTAGTCCAATCGATTTGAAACGGGTTTTATTCTACCCAGAACAAGCAAAGGTTTTACAAAGCAATACCTGACTTCTCTAGATATTTTTAATGTTATGTCATTGTTATGTCTGAGTTTCGTTCCCATTTGACCCCTTCCCTCGTCCTTGTCATTTCGGAGTGTAGCCCGTGGAGGAACAGCAGAGATTTTTCAGGATATGTTGTTCACCTCATAGAGACTAAATCCTGAATTCTCGCCTGATTATAAACTAGTAGGCTATCGACTACTCTTTTTGGCCAAATTTTCCATTGCTATAAATCATTGTACAATGCTAAAAAAGCATTTTCAACTCAAAAGCGTTCTATAAAATAAGAAAAATCTACATTTATTGACAGAAAAAACGTCAAACCTCGCCCTGGTCATTTCGGAATGAAGCCCTAAGCTTAGAGGAACCACGGGGAATTTTCAGGATACGTTGTTCACATAGAGAGTAAATCCTGAATTCTCGCCTGATTATAAACTAGTAGGCTATCGACTATTTTTTTTAGCCAAATTTTCCATTGCTATAAATCATTGTACGATGCTAAAAAAACATTTTCAACTCAAAAGCGTTCTATAAAATAAGAAAAATCTACATTTATTGACAGAAAAATCGTCAAACCTCGCCCTGGTCATTTCGGAATGAAGCCCTTAGAGGAACCGCGGGGATTTTTCAGGATATGTTGTTCACATCATAGAGACTAAATCCTGAAATTTTCGTCTGATTATAAATTAGTAGATTATCGACCCCTTTTTTTAGCCTAAATTATAAGGGCTATAAATCATTGTGAGATGCCAAAAATTATTTTCAACGCAAAAGCACTCTTTAAAATAAAATAAAAAATTCTACACTGACAGAAAAAAGTTAAAACTTACCCTTGTCATTTCGAAGTGAACCTTGTGGGGGCTTTTCAGGATATGTTGTTCATCATAGAGACTAAATCCAAACATTTTCATCTGATTATGAATTAGTTGGCTATTGATGCTTTTTTTTTCTACATTTATCGCCAGAAATAATCGCTACTCTAGAAAAAAAAATTTCATAAAAATTAAACATTATAAGATAGGTGTTCTGTAACATGAAATAACACCCTCAAAAAAAATTCAAAACACGCAACTAAATATGAAAACTACAACTTTGCATAATGTGAATGACATTGAAAGATTAAGTTGTTTATAGAGACTAGGAAGCCAATTAGCTATAATAAAACATAATTAAGGATTTCTAACTATAATACGTTTAAGGATAATACTAATATGCATTCTTATTTAGTCTCACTTCACGATATCTTCGCATTAACTTTTAAAATCCTACGTATGATCATTTATAAAGTTAATGAATTCTCAGCAACAATCACGATAATATAGCAGCTACACTGCCTTACAAAACGTTAACAAACACCATAATAGTGCTTGAAGCGTATCTATTGTTGGAACTTAATTCTTCAAAAATTTGAATACAATTATAAGTGTGTGTAATTAAGTTCTTATGTAAGCATTACAATTTATCGTTAAAAAATGTATACTAGAAAAAGTTAAATATGTAATTAGACAAAAAAAATTTGATACAGTCTTTTTATGATACGCTTAGCAAAAAAATAATAATATAAGTTTTTATTCTAAGACCTGAAGATAAAATCAAAACATTTAAAGCAGAGGGCATTGAAAATCATTGCATAGACATTCAGTGTCGTTTTCTAATTTTTAGACTTTTACATAGCTTCAATATTTTGGCTGAAATATAACAACTGAAGAATCAGAGCAGCGATGGCTCAGGGGATAGAGCTTTCGCCTTCCAATGAGGCGAACGCATCCGGCTTGCACCGACCACAGTGCTGACGTGAAATATCCTCAGTGGTAGACGGATCATGGGTTAGAGTCTCCTTGCTGTCAGGCTAACAGTGGGAGGTTCTCGTGAACTTCCACTGCATGTAACACAAATGCGGGTTAGCTCCATCAAAATATCCTTCCTCCACGAAGGCAAATTTCTCCCAATGCTCGATCCAGGAGTTCCCTTGTCTTCTAGATTGGGCTAAAAATTACGAGGCTACGGAGTTGAACATTAGTAGTCTTAAACCCATAAAATTGGGTCAGCTGTTCAACAACAATTATAAAATAAAATAAAAGCTGAGTATTCAAAAATTTAATAAACTTGCTAAAAAGAAAAATTTATTTATTTAAAAAAATTCTTCACATAAATGCAAAAACAGTGAACCACACATCACCATTGTATTTTCTACTTGTTAGTTTTCGCATTATTTCAATACTCAAGTTGATATTTCAAACTATGAAAATTTCGATAATTTTGCTATATAAAGTACCTATTACCACGGCATCTATTACCTCAATATCAGCAATACTACCACTTCACTACACCACATAACTATTACTACAGTTAAATGAGTATCATCGGGATCGAAAATAGTCCTCAAATTTTATAAGGTTGTCCGAAACGAAATAATATCCATATATTTTTCATAATATCCCATCAATACTTTTGAAATACAACGGTGTCTCTTTTTGAAGCAAACATAATGTTGTGAACTAAAATCAACTTTTGTTCCTTTTTTACGTTATTGAATTCTTAATTAATATTGAAGAAAGAAAGATTAATCTAATCGATCTTATTTGTTTTTTTTCTCTAGGTACGGAGCACCTGCTGAAGCCTTTGGGCTTGTTTGTACAGCTATTCTCGTCTTTTTATTGATATTCATTCCAAAAGCAATTCAGTTGGCGTCTCCAAGAGGCAACATGGGCTCTGGGTCCACAGTAGGCAGCCATTCTGTGATCCATACTCCATCCTTTTATCACCTTCAACCACAAGCTGTGATGCCCAGCAGTACCAATGGAACACTTATCAAGCAATCCAACATGAATGCAGGTTTGTAGACATAGAGTGGAGTTGAGAAGTTCATTAACTCCTAATTAATTCTAGCTTGTTGAAAGAAAAGAACTTACAGAAGACCTTGAACACATGGATAGTTTTTTTCCCTTAATTTAAAAAATAAAGATTCGCATGCAAATACTTTTCCCTGTCTAAAAACAGTTGTAGGATGGGTAGATAAATAACTACTCTTAATGTTGCTAAACTTTCCAGGTCAATTTTTACTGCACTGTCTGTAAGGATAAATTGTGGTTGTAAAGAGGTTATATTAAATCTAAATTCGTAAATTTTTTCCTTTCGTATGAAATTATTCCCTCTTAGAGTTTAAATGAGCTAAATATAAATTTTTTTTAATTCAATTGTGTATTTAGAATTGATTCATTGATTGGAGTTGCTTCAAAACACTTTGGGGTTACTTCAAAATGAAATGAATTGGTTAATCCATCAGATCATAAAAGCAAGCAAACGATTTGCACATGCTTAGTTTAAAATATTCGTAACAAAAGTCTTCTTATCAGATGTTAAAAATGTTTTTACGAAGTAAAGCTGTGTAAAAAGCCTACAATGGGTTTTATAAGATTGGCGATATTTTCTTCATCATAATCCAAGTCTTAAGAAACGCAAGCAAATCTACAGATAAAGTAATTCTATATAAAAAAAAATTAAAATAAACGAATTAAAAGTTGCTGATGCATCTGTAGAGTGTCTCGAATTATATTATTTTTTGCAGGAAATGCAAGTAATTCTGGAATTCTAAGTTTTAGAGGTTTTGTTCTGAGAGCAGGCTTTTCTTGTTCACAGAAATTTTCATTTCAGTTTAAAATGTTAGGCAGAAGACAAAACGTGTTGTCGTTGGTGATCTGTGCAGACTACATTCAGTGCAAATGATGAATTGTTTAAAAAGAATTCGGCCAGCAGCCATATCGACAATGAATTCCAAGTCTATAGCATTTTAAAATAGTTAACATTTTCATCTTTGAAATAAATTTTATACTGCATATTTAGAGCATACCCTCTAAAAATCACTGACGTTTTCATCCTTGAAGTGAACTTTCCACCTCAGAGTTAAAGAGTACCGTCTTAAAGCCACAGACGTTTTTATATTTGAAGTGAATTGATCTGCAAATTTAGAGTATTTCGTCTAAAAATGACTAACGTTTTAACCTTTCAAGTTAATTTTCCACTGCAGAACTGGGCAGTAAAGTCTGATATTTTCATCTTTAAATTTAATTTTTCAAGAATACCATCTTAAAATAACTAACTTTCTGATTTATTTCCACGAATTCCATGAATTTTCCACGGCAGATTTAGAGTTAAGCGCCTAAAACGTTAGTCATTAGTAGAGCATAGCATTTTATATTTGAAGTGAATTATTCTGCAAATTTAGAGTATTTCGTCCTAAAATGACTAACGTTTTAATCTTCAAGTTAATTTTCCACTGCAGAACTGGACAGTAAAGTCTATAACATGACTGATATTTTCATCTTTAAATTTAATTTTTCAAGAATACCATCTTAAAATAACTAACTTTCTGATTTATTTCCACGAATTCCATGAATTTTCCACGGCAGATTTAGAGTTTAGAGCCTAAAACGTTAGTCATTAGTAGAGCATAGCATGTATGTTTTCATTTTTGAATTCTATTTTCTTGTTCAGATTTAGAGTCAACTAAAAAAATAAGACAAACGTTTTCATGTTTAAGCGGAATTAATGACTAATGCTTTAATAATTGAGTTGAATTTTTCTCAGAAAATTGAGAGTATATATCATCAGATAAATGGCACACAAATATTTAATTAGTTTTCTATTAATTTCGTTTAACTTCGTCTAATGCCAACTGAAGTACAATAAGCATTAAAAACTCGTATCCCTACATTTCCAAATAAATTATTATGCGTAAAATTAAAAAGTAAAATAATATGATTTATATTCCATCGCCTAACATTATATCTAAGAATTGTTTATTGTATTCACTGAAAACAATAATTAATTTAATCAATCATCATAATTCAAAAGCATAATAATGTTAATATTTTAATAATCTAAAAATAAATAAAATATCTTCTTCGTATTTAGTTACTTGGATTTATTAAAGAGCAAACAAGAAAACATCTTTTATTTACTAATATGATTGTGAAGAGCAATAAAAAAAAAATTTAAATCGTTGTTGCGTGAGAGAACATATTTAAAAGTATGCATTCATTTACTAACACAATGAAACAATTGAAGAATAGTTCTTTTTTTTTCTCTTTATAATGAATATGAAAGGGAAAGTTAGGAGAAAGCGAAGCTTGCGTTTAATGAATACTAAAAATAAACAAAAAGCAAAGATGTAACGTTACGATCATTTTTACTTTTTAAAAATGTCTTCCTGATTATTTATTTTTTTATTTATTTATTTATTTAAATGAAATAAAAATACTTTTTATATGAGTGATATTTTAATGCATACAATAAAAATGTATTTATTTTAATGCGTACAAATTTTACTGTAGTTCTTTTGCAATCATTTGTTAAGTTTGAAAAAATTTCTATATTTTATTTACAACTCTATTTCGAATACCGCAGACTTTGAATATTTACATAACTGAAATAAAATATCAATAACAAAAAATTAAAAATTAAAATTTTTGATTAATGTATTAAAAATGCAAATAAATACTCACAACATATCTATGTATTGTTCGTATATATCATACATAAAAATTATAATTGTTTCATTGCATATATCAGATAAGTTATTTTGTCAACGTTTATTTAGAAATAGTTCCTTAGTTTCACTTTCAACCTATCCTCAAGCACTGCAGACTAAAAAGTTCAATGTTTCCAAAAGTGATAACAAAAAATTCAAAATAAAAATTTGCAGTTCTTTCCAATCATATCAAACATATGTTTAAAATCGTTTCATTAAGGTTAATTTATTAAATTTAATGTTAATAAAGTTTATTTTTATTTTATTTATATATTTTATTCATTTATTTTTATTTTTTTTCCTTCATCTTCTTACACATTCTCGAATCCACATACTTGTTTGATGTTCGAACCTTTAACTTTTAAAGTTCATTCGATAAGTTTTGTTTCCTATCTGGTGACTTTATGCACTTCAACTTCGATTTCTTCTTTATATTACAGTATATAGTCTTCATCTAACTTGCTGTTGGTTTATTTTGTTTTTTTTCTTCGGGTAGTAGGGGGTATGATTGTTAGTGGTAATATAACACCAACCGCTGAAACTGCTTCCGCACTGGCAGCATGGTAAAGTCCCCCTCACGATGCCGTCAGTTATACCAGTGCTTCCACTTTAATTTCTTATTTAATATTTTTCCTTTTTGTTAGTTAGGTTGCTATTTCCAGTAGTGCTTTATTATTTACTTAGTCATTTCGTGTTAATGATTTTGGTTTTCTTCTGAAGTGCTGATACTTTTAATTCTCTTACGATGTAATAACTTATTTTATTTCATCTTAAAATATTTATCTTCAAATAATCTTTCAGCTTTGACATTAGCAGCTCGACACTGTCGCTGTTTGGAATTTTATGTATTATACATTTTCTTCGATTTCCATTGTTTATGTATTTGTGTCTTATTCTGAATATAATGTAATGTAATGTGACGTGACGTGACGCAACGTAACGTAACGTAATGTAATGTAATGTAATGTAATGTAATATAATATAATATAATATAATATAATATAATTATTACTATACTATACTATACTATACTATACTATACTATACTATACTATACTATACTATACTATACTATACTATACTATACTATACTATACTATACTATACTATACTATACTATACTATACTATACTATACTATACTATACTATACTATACTATACTATACTATACTATACTATACTATACTATACTATACTATACTATACTATACTATACTATACTATACTATACTATACTATACTATACTATACTATACTATACTATACTATACTATACTATACTATACTATACTATACTATACTATACTATACTATACTATACTATACTATACTATACTATACTATACTATACTATACTATACTATACTATACTATACTATACTATACTATACTATACTATACTATACTATACTATACTATACTATACTATACTATACTATACTATACTATACTATACTATACTATACTATACTATACTATACTATACTATACTATACTATACTATACTATACTATACTATACTATACTATACTATACTATACTATACTATACTATACTATACTATACTATACTATACTATACTATACTATACTATACTATACTATACTATACTATACTATACTATACTATACTATACTATACTATACTATACTATACTATACTATACTATACTATACTATACTATACTATACTATACTATACTATACTATACTATACTATACTATACTATACTATACTATACTATACTATACTATACTATACTATACTATACTATACTATACTATACTATACTATACTATACTATACTATACTATACTATACTATACTATACTATACTATACTATACTATACTATACTATACTATACTATACTATACTATACTATACTATACTATACTATACTATACTATACTATACTATACTATACTATACTATACTATACTATACTATACTATACTATACTATACTATACTATACTATACTATACTATACTATACTATACTATACTATACTATACTATACTATACTATACTANTTTATTTATAATAGATTTCTGTCGTGGATTCCCGGATAGAATTTGGACGTATGATTATCCAAGCTTCAGAAGAGGCACACCACCTGCAATTGCAATTTCTGATATGAACTCTTTAAAGAAATCAAATGGTTCTTCATTTAACCACTCTAACCTCTACTAATCATATTTTCTATTATTGTTTGAGCTATTGTAGAACAACCCACAGTTTGAGTTTTTTCGTTAGTATCTGCTTAACCACATTGATTGTGTTCGTGAAGTAATCATCACTGTTATTATTAGACTACATCAAGGGCATTCAAATCAATTGCGTCATTTTTCATCAAAGTTAAACTGTTTTAAACATTTGCACTCAAAAGATGACAGTCAGTAATTGTTTCTATGTTTTCAATATTCACCAACCTGAATTCTAAAAAAATATGATCACCTATTATTTAATTTTCCTTCTTTTTTACACTGTGTTAAGCATTTGCACTCAAAAGCTGACTCTCAATAATTTTTTCTATGCATGCAATGTTCACCAACTTGAATTTCAGAAATTTGAAAATCAGTTATTAATTTTATCAATGTTCATAATTTCTTCACAATGTTCATTTGCACTAAAAACAACCATTCTCATGCATGCAATATACACCAACATAAATTTTAAAAAACTGAAGATAAATAATGATGGAAAACGACATAATTGAACTATGTTAACCATTTGCACTCAAAAGATTCCACTGTATAAATCGTTTCCATGCATGCAATATTTACCAACCTGTATTTTTAAAATTTGAACATCAATAATCAATTATGTCACTTTCCTCATTATTAAACCATGTTAACCATTTGCACTCAAAAATTGACTCAATAATCTTTCCCATGCATGCAATATTCACCAGTCTGTATGGTAAAAATTTTAACAATTTTGACAATATTTAATCTTAATCTCTTAACTATCTTAATATTTAATAACTATTTTATTTCCTGATTGTTTGCTATTAGGTGTAAAATTGATTAAGTTAACGCTATGCTTTTTAAAATCATTACTATTTAATCCTTATTAATAATATTGATTAAATACTACCAGTGCAAATATTAAAATTCAACTATTATTTACATTAGTAGGATCTTAATCATTCATAACTTCAACATATCTTTTAGTATTAACATTGTACAGAGATTTTGATCAAAAGCTGTCTTTGTACACCACTGTTATTGACTTCGTATGATCACGAATTTTCAGATAAAACCATTTATTATAAATACGAAACCACATTAATTTTTAATAAAATACTCTCCTGCCAATAACTGCAAAATAATGGAGGTTATAATGATAGCAAATTTCAGAAAAATAGTTTAATAGGAAGATCAAAATATTATTCATAATTTCAATTAAAACCGTGAGGACAAGTCGACCTCATTGGCAAGATAAATTTAAATTTTTAAAATGCAACTTTACTTGCTCTTCTACTAAATACCATTCATAGAAACAGAAAATTAGATAAATTATGGAGAAGTAAATTCACCATTGTTTGAATTGAAAAAATAAGTCTCTGCTCGTATTTTAATGCGTATTTTTAAAGTGTTATTATTATTGAAACTCTTTTGTTTTGAGCTTTAGTGAATAAAATTGATTTTTAACATGAATTTTTAGCATTATTTTTACACTGCTAACTTACATCTGATAGCTACACTGTCGGAATTTTTATTTTAAAATAATCGGTAGCTGTCTGTCCATTCGTTTTACTGTAAAGTTTACAGTGAATAACATTTTTTACCTTTACGATTTTGAAACCGTTTACAATTAGTATGGTTAAAAAAAACTGAATATAAAACTACACATTTTTTAACCTTCTACAACTAGCATGGTTTCAAAGTTCATGGTTCATGGTACATTTAGCTGGCCATAGGAGATAAGCTTTTCGTTAAGTAATGGACATTGTAGAGTGCAAGATACAAATTGGGAAGTGCAGGACAAAATTTTTATGTGTTCAAGGGAATTAATGAAATATTGCGATGTCAACGTTGGCACTCTAACCCCAGTTCTGGCTGTCAACAAATTACCAATAGGGTAGCAGCTATGGAATTAAAAAGCAAGCACTGCATGCTATTGTTATAAATAAAATAGCAAAGCGGGGGATGGCTCTCCCGCTTTGTTCGCCAGGTGACCTGCTCACGAAATCGAGTACTTTACGGTAGAACAGTTTAAAAAAGACCGATACCGCGAACCCTGGGTCCCTACGTAAGCTGATCAAAATGGTCACCCACTCGCTTACTGACCTCAGCCAGTAATACTTGACCAGCTTTTATTCTAATGGGAGCCGTGTCTTTACGATCTGACCATCGCGGAGCTCTATATGATGCATAATGCAGAAATTTCGGAAAGGTATCAAAATTAAAGAGCATTGAATTCCGTAACGAATGGTATCATTAAACATTACATTTCATCAAATGGTTTGGTCAGAATCAGCAGTAAAAAATTATATTTTTTTTCTACTTTGGCTGAACCCATTCTAAAAGCTATTTCTATTTTTTTAAAAATTGAAAACTTCTTAGAAAAAACTGGAGCCACTAGTTATACTAACGACTTATCAAAAATTAAAATATTTACAATGATGCTTAATGCTTAAAATAACAATGCAAAATACTCGATTAATATTTATTGAAACTGTAAAACAAATTGCGTATTCTTACATCATTTTACAAATAATACGAATACGTATTATTATATAAGTTTTAAAAAAAAGTTTTTTTTTGATGACATTGAGTTATTAAACTAAAGATTTATTATATAAAGTGAAAGCTCAACTCCCAATACAAAAAAGCAAGTTTTAAAAAAAGAAACATTTTTCTTCCTCAATATGTACTGATCATTAAATTTCTGACACAAAAAAAAATGAAATCAATTATTATTTTTCGAATCAATGAAAAAATATCTCATTTAAAGAATTCTTTTTATTCGTAAATGTAACAATCAATTCAAAATGACGGAAGAATCATTCAAATCAAAATGTGACCTTGTCAAATTTGATGTTATGTGAATGATAGACATTCGGCTGATGACTGTGATGAGCAAGTTATTTCAGTGCATTTCCTATCAACAATCATAGATGATTAATGATAAAAAAAATACATATATAGTTTTACTTGTAGCAATAACGTGATAAATGTGAATATTGGGTTTTGAAATCTTATTTGAAAAAAAAATTATTTGGCATGAATGTTTTTCTAATTTCTTATTGGAGTTCACATCGTAAAATTTAAATAAGAAACAAGAGTGAAAGAATTGTCAAAATAGATTGAATGCAAAGTTTTGTTTTCTTGATTTTTAGATTTTCATAAGCAGAATCGTTTTGAAAATAGTTTTCTGTTTCTATCTCATTTGAGGAGCAAGACAAATTAGAATCGGATAAAATTTTGCTTTTGTTTTTCTCTAAACTATGTATTTTTAAACCTGAAATGAGCAATTTACGAGAAAATACTCGTTGCACATTTAAAAAACAGTTGTGCAATTTCATATATATGTGTATATGATACGATAAGTTTTATTGCATCCTTAATAGTTAATTTTAAATATTACTTTACCAAAAGAATTTTTTAAAAATTAAAGCATAAGGTAGCTAATTTAAAAACATTTTTTTTAAAAAGTATAATGTTAAAAAGCCTATAGCATTTTAATAATTATACGCATTTTAAATATATTTAAAGAAATAAAAAAATGTTAAAAAGTTATGTTTTATGTGTAAAATTTAAAAATATCGGCTACAAAAGTTGTTAACAAATTTTGAAAAAATTAGCATTAAAGTATTTGGTTAAAAAAAAGCTAGAGTTAAAAAATTCTTTACAAAAATAATTAATTAGTGAAAAAGAAACGTGGCATGACCTTTTATCATTGGAAATGGCATACAATTATATTAATTTTTGTCCTTTTTGTTTTATTCATTTTCAAAATTTACTTTTTTTGACACACTATCAATTGCCAATTTAAAAAATAATTTTTTGATATAATATTTTATTGTAAAATTTTTTTTTGCTAAAACGTTAATCACAAATTTTTCCCTTTTGTCTGCTTTTTATAGAAGTTTGAAATAGTAATCACGAAAATATCACTCTTTTTCAAAAAATATAATTTTCTGAACTTTTAAATCAAACTGCTCTGATAAAAATTTTGATAAACAACTTTTTCTGTACAAAAGTTTTGAAAAAATTTCAATTAGTAAAAAAGCAGTATTATAAAATGCACTGCGTTTTTAAAGACATAAATGCAAAAAAATCAAAAAGTTTCTGAATAAAATGTAAGAAAAATATTTTTAACGAAACTACCATAATAATCTATGAAGAAGTTTAAACGCTTTGAAATTGTGCACGTTTTTTATCTAGTTAAAATATATTTTATGAAAAGAGTTATACGTTAAAACTGGGTTTATTGCTTCATAAATTTTTATTGATTCTAAATTTTAGATAGGTAATTTTTCCACAATAAAAATGATTTTTATTATTTTAAAACCGAGCAATTTATATGCTTACTAAATTCAAGTGCAAGTGAGAAGCAAATATTAAAAACACCATAATTGTGATAAAAAAGAATGAATTTCTATTTTTCAAAAAAAATACTAATATTTTTAAACATTTCGAAGTTTTTGTTTTTTATTTGTTTATTTTACAGGAAAAAATTATGAACCATAAGGACTCTCCTCATCAATCTTAAGGAAATAGAATGTTATTTTTCTTTTACAATTTGACATTAATTTAATTTTATCTCTCCTCAGTAAGTGGCGTTTGACCTCATTAAATATATTTTATCTCTTTTAAGTATGGTTTAATAGCAACAAAAACAATCAACAATGTTGCCTCAAAGTATGTAGATCTACTTTCCGGAGTACATAAAAGCCTTCACATTAGAACGTGACTTAGAATTTAAGATAAATGTGAGTTTTCTTTTTTTATAATTTTCTTAAGCAATTGATGTGCCTAACAAACCAATTTTTAAATTTAAATTAAACAATAAAAAACTAAGCAATTAAGCTTAAAAACGAAGCAATTGGTAGACTTATTAAATTCAAATGCTATTGAGAAGCAGATTTTGAAAACAATATAATTGTGATAAAAACAGTAAAGTCCTATACTTAAAAGGAATACTAATAATTTTAAACATTTTAATGTTTTTCTTTTCTTTTCCTTTATTTATTTATTTTGGAGAAAAAATTTATTAACCATAAAGACGCCACTCATCAATCTTAAGGTAATCGAATGTTATTTTTCATTTACAATCTGACATTAATTTAATTTTATCTTTTCTCAGTAGGTGGCGTTTGACCCCATTAAACCGATATTTAATCTCTTTTAAGTATAGTTTTATGGCAACAAAAACAATCAACAATGTTGTCTCAAAATATATAGATTTACTTTCCGGAGTACGTAAAAGCCTTCGCATTGAAAACGTGATTTAGAATTAAAGATAAATTTCAGGTTTTTTCAATTTTCTTCAGAAAAAGAGAACAAAATTTATGAGAATTATCAAAATACCACATAAATCTCATCATTTAAAGAAGCGGTTAAGTTCTAGAATAGAACAAAACATTATCTGATATCTGATTCTTCACACGATAATAGGAGTGGTGCGTTTGCTTATTGCACCATTTTTTTCTGAAATTACACGCCATGTTTAAGATGCTCGTGTTTTATTAAGTTGGGCGTGCTGGCAACACAGCATGAAAGACCAGCAGTGCCCTCTAGCGATTAACGTGCAAGTGAGTAGCTCTTCTTGCGTGATTAAGGGGCCACATTAAGGTCTGTTGCTTTAAAAAAATTACGTTTTCCTTTTCATCTGAACAGGCGCACCTTTTACTTTTCATAAAATACTTTTATGGTAACACTTCGGTTAGATGCAGAAAAAAAATAATGTGAAAAAAAATTCTTCGTGGGACCAATTAATGAACGACCACATTTATAGCATTTTCTCCGCTTTCGTCAGATAAATTCGTGACATTATCACAGAGTGAATTTCATGTTAGAAGTTGTAAAACAAACTCAATATCACGTTCTTTTACCAGATCAAATTGGTTTATTATTTCGCGGGTTGTCTGTTGTAATATGACAAATTGTCTAATAAATCAGATTCATAATAACGTGATCAACTCTGCCCGGTAAACATGTAAGATCTTGTTTTAAGATGAGCATTTCAGAATTTGGTAAGATAAGGAGTATCAGTGAAAAACTTTCGTAGCAAATAAAGTGATACTATTACAAAAGGTTTGTAAGTAATGATGATATCTGCAGAAATTATATTATGAAATAATTCTACTATCGAATTATAGTTTTATCACCTTAATTATTTAAATATATTTTTAAATTTCTTTCAAAACCGATATTGTATGCAATGACAAATCTGCAAAATGAAAAATATGATTATTTCATACTTTCAAGTATGATTATGATTTATTAGAATCGATTAGGAGTTGAAGGCTCAATTAGCATATTCATATTTGATTAAGTTTTTTTTTAAATTACAAAGTCAATCATTTTAATTACTCGTCTTGTGTGATCATAATTATATATGGATAATAGCCCAGTATGATTTTGTACTTCTTTGCCAAAGTTACACTTGCCTGGTACTCTTTACACCTTCGTACTTCATTGCCATAGTTACACTTGTCTGGTATTCTCTACACCTTCGTACTTCATTGCCATAGTTACACTTGTCTGATATTCTCAACACCTTCGTACTTCATTGCCATAGTTACACTTGTCTGGTATTCTCTACACCTTTGTACTTCATTGCCATTGTTACACTTGTCTGATATTCTCAACACCTTCGTACTTCATTGCCATAGTTACACTTGTCTGGTATTCTCTACACCTTTGTACTTCATTGCCATTGTTACACCTGCCAGGTATTCTGTACACCTTCGTTTTTATAAGATTAGGGACTACTTCTCATTATTCCGAAACGTGGCATTTTTCCTAATAAAAAAATATTATCAATGAATCCAGTTTGGTTGTCAGCTCAGTATACTGTAAAAATTACTGTATAAAGTACCGGCACTTTAGGTGCATCATCCGAAAAATTCATTTTATCATAAAAATACATTTTTACCAAAAAATATTATACCGTAATTTTAATAGTAATATTTGCTTAATTAAAGTATTTCAATGATTTTACGGTAATTAATTTTTGAAATTTTTATCATTTAGAGCACCTTAATCGTGTTTCTAAACTTATCGCAATTCTTTTATTTTAACCGACAAAATAATTATACTGAATGCAAAAATTTTAATATGATCATTGTCATTTTGTGATTTTTTTTTACCTTGCTTCCCGAAACTCAAAAAACGTATGTTTTGCAGAACAAAATTCTTAAATTTAAAAGTATCAATTAATGTATTGTTACGAATTTGTAAATGTGAGTATAATTTTCTGAATATTCTTTTATTATGAGGCTAAATAACCCACGGACCCTAAATAAATAGTTGGATTAGAAAATTTGCAAGAATGTCGCGTACTTCTTACGTAAGCTAGAAAGAACATAACTCCTCATGTATTTCTTATGGAAAACTCCATTTGGCGACATTTTTGTTTGTGCTGACTTATTACGCTCCTGGTGACTTAGCAATGCTTGGAGACCATTTTAGCAACAAAATGATAGTTCTGGAAACTTCAAGTTAGCTTAGCTATAAAAATCTCAAGTTTTAAATGCAGTTTTCAAAAAAATTAACAGATTAAAATGCAAATTGTATGGGTGCCATTTTACAGAAAGTCTCTAGTAAAAGATACTTACATTAAAAAATTATACGAATCATATTGCCAATCAGCCGACCAGGTGGCCGAGTGGTTAGCGTGTTTGACTGCGGACTCATTGGCCGCGGGTTCGAATCTTGCTCAGGGTTTGGATGTTTCTTTCTCTCCCTGTGTTCTATGTCCTTTCCTCTTTCTGTGAATGTGACCCGCCCTATAAACGGGGTCGTGGTTGTGTGACGTGGGCGGCGTTGCTCCACCGCCATGGCCTCGCCACAGGTGCCCACTGGGTAACAAAAAGAGGCTTAGCAGTTCTGGTATTTCTGTGGCCAATGGGACAAACCCCAAGTGCCCATCCATTAAAAAAATTTAAAAAAATATTGCCAATCAGTAAATCATCTCTTATAGCTAACATTTGTATTCCAATTTCCATAGAAAAACTAAGAGCTTTGACTTTTGTTTTCAAAAATATTGCTACCTACTACTACAGATCTATTCAATTCGAAAATATTAATTCAAAAAATTACAGCTTTTAGGGTACAAAATTAATTTTCTAAGAGTCTTGTTTAACTGAAATCTCTCTAATCACGCCTTCGAGAAATTTACATAATTCAAAACCACTTGTTTGCCAGAAAATATTTTTTATTGTAGTTAGAAACTCTTATGGGATTAATCTTTCTAAAATGATTTGTCCACACTTTCGATTTGATATTTGATGGGGAAAAAATTGCATTTCAAAAAAATTAGTTAAAAAGAGATTGAAAATACAGCAACCCCGAAAATAAAACTTACAATGTTTTTTTTTTCACAATTACTTTTTAGAAACAAATTCTACGATGTCATAATAATGCTTCGTATTAAATATATTAAATTTCTTTCTAAAATAGTTATAATTAATAAAAATATAAATCCGAAAATTGCTACCATAAACTTACTTGAAATTTTTTAACTACACAATTGGAGTTAATTTATGCACGCCAACACCAATTTATCAGTAAAAACTATTTGAAAAAAATAGAAGTAGCTATTTCGAATATTCTATATTTGTTTAACGAAGCAAAGTTGGTTGAAAGTGTTTTTTAACAATGTCATGACTATTAACATAATTAGATGTATAAAAAAGCATTTATTTATTTAAATGGATGTTTTAGGATATTAGTCTGAGTCGAATATAATTTTATCTATTTTTATTAATTATTTAGTTTTATGATTCTTTTTTTAAAAATGGCATGTCTGATACTATATATCGTGAATGACATGGCAAACAAGGTAACCGACGAAACGTTACTCGCAAGGTTTTTATAAATTTAAGTACCGCCAAGCCGTCATTGTTTAGGTTGTCAATTTCGTGTTATATTTGGTTACGCTGAGCAGAAACTAAGATTTCGAAGCTTGAAATTACGAAGACATGTAAAGAAGTATAAACGGATTACGATGAAATAAAAAATCCAGCATTCAATTAATTATCGACTGTTAAACTTGTAGTAAAAAATATCATGCTGGTTTATCTATTGCCCATTGAAATGAAGCAGCTAAGTTGAAAGTTAACGTGCCGAAATGGCCGTTTTTGTTTATAAACTTAAGTTCCCCCGCTCCCGAAATTCCAGTTTAATTTATAGTTATTGTAATTTAAAATCGAGTTTTTCGACATTATTTTTTTTGCTTCAAATCAGTATTTATCCATATTGTCGAAACAATTTTTATATCTCTCGAGATATTTATTTTATGAGCCCGTGTTTCAGTTGATGTCGAAAGTAACAAAAAAAGACAATTTAAAATTTTATATATGTATTTGAGTGATTCTCACACTATTGTATTGATATATTTTGCTTTGGATATATTGATACAATATTAGAAAGCACTCATTTTTGCGGTTATAATAGTGTGAGCTGATGAAAAGATTATATCTTTTATTTTCCGGATTTTTATTCATTTTTTTCGGTTTTTATTTTTTATTTTTTTCCTTCCCAGTTTGTTATTTTTATTAATATTTTTCTTTTTACCCCTTTTCTCATTGTTCTGTAATTTTTTCCATGCTTTCTCTACATTTTGAAGAACTTATTTTATGAGTTCTATTTACTAGCAGCTTATGCTCAATTAATAAAACTTATTGTTTTTCTTAATTTTCCTCGTATTTTTTCCCTTCCTGTATTTATTTATTATGCTATGTATATATATATATATATATA